CCTCCTCCAGGAACCTACTCAAATCCATGGCGGATTTCGACCTCGAAAGCCTACCTCCAGTGACTCGCGCTGATGTGCTCCTGTGCGCGCTACTGGGCGCGCTGCGGTGCTTCTGTGCGCGCTACTGGGCGCGCTGCGGTGCTTCTGTGCGCGCTACTGGGCGCGCTGCTGTGCGCGCTTCCCTGACCTACTGGCTGATAGTAGGGCGCTTTCGCTCTTCTAACGTTGTAACTGACTGTAACAACTTACTTCCGCCAAGCTAAGTCTGCTAAAAATGCTATAACCTATCAATCGCACTAACACTGAGCTGATTAACTGATCCTACGAGCAAGCGCGACGGGGACTGCCTTGCTGACTAATGCTGCTGAAACTCTCAGACGGCCTAGTCAGTCGGTCAGACAGTCTTGCTGTGTTACGGCCGGCCGATCAATTCAAAACGGTACATGGAACGTCGTCCGCGAAAGATATCGAATCAGTGCTTAACGATCGAGCAACGTATAAGAACATCCCAACAGCTTCGTTTTCTCGATCCAGCTTCATCGCTTGAGCTTCCTCGATCTCCATGCAGACAAATTGTCTTTGAGAAAAAGGCTACTCTTGCACAAGAATCGATTCAACATGTCCCTGGTGAGAGTGAGGGTGGGGACGGGAGGTGTGTTAGGAAGGAAAGACTGTCATGAGATAGAGTTTACCGTTGCGGCAATAGAAGTACACCAGATAGGTTGAAACGAAAAGGGAAAAATAATACAGATCGCGGAGATGAAATGAGATGATGGTGGAAAAATGAAAAACGCATTGAATGAATGGCAATCCGCGGAGCGTGTCCTGTCAGACTACTGTCATACTAATCAATCCGATTAAATACATTCAATCGTTGGTTTAAGCCGAAGTTAGCTGCAGCGATTAGATCGCACCGACGGCCAGCCTACCTGACGTGCATCGCAGCGCCAAGCAGACTGATGTTTTTACGTCTCTGCATTCAGCACCGTGGTTGAAAAGCTTAGCAATCCACTCCGGTGACTAGATATTCTGCGGTGTCTAACCGGAACTGACTCTCGCGACGCGGCCTAGAAGTTTCGTCGCTTTCAGCCGTAACAGGCACGTTCGCAAACTATGGGAGCAGGCTAGACGAGGAGAAGCACATAAACGCACTGATCGTGGCACTAAATCGTGCAGCTACAATCACCTATCGAAATGCCTACGATAGATGTCAGACCAGTTAGAAGCCTAAAGTCCCCCAGCGAGCCCGCACAGCGTCGCTACTATCCTTATTGATCTAAAGTTTGTCGTCCCCTCGCAACAAACTGGAGCAAACCCTGAAAGCTTCACGCTCCAGCTATTCTAATCAAAGCTATCGCCTTCCCGTCGTCTAAGCTGAAGACTACTGGAAGGTTGACGCTTGGTGGCGGCCTGTTCAAAAGGTGGGGAATAACTCTTGAATTCTGGAACCATTTATAGGAGTAGGGTTTGAGATGGCCTTGAGGATTGTTGGGGGAGGAAACTGGCGGGATCCCGCGGAAGGGCATTGGGAAATGTTGGGGTCTGGTAAGGTTAGAGGAGTTTGGGGGAGGTTGGAGGAGGTAGTGGAGGGAGTAGCTACACAGAGAACGGGGAAGGGGGAAGTCAGCGGAATTATTGGCCGTGCAGTGTTGGACTGGTGTGGGGGACGTCCAGCGGCGACATGGAGGAGAGCGCAATTTTCCCTTTGGTCGGGGGGTTTTCAGGTGACGATGACGAATTGTGGGAGGTGGTTTTCAAGGGGAGCGGAGCGGAAGTTGCAGTGTGGCCGAAGGGCTTGCGGAAAGAGACTGGCAGCGTCCGTAGATAGATGCGCAGGTGCGGCGTGGCATGACTCGAAGGGCTTGGCGCGGAATCTTCGAGGTTCGTTTGAAATTAGGGGGGGTGAAAAGGGTTGTATAACACTGTACAACGGAATTGTGGTTCAGGAGCTTACAAACAATGCAGATTTTCCCTGGAATGCCTCACAAACCGACTGAATTTGTCCAGATGTAAGGAAATTTCCTTTTCCTTACTTTGCGCCCCTGCTTACCGCGTACAATACCATTCCTGCCATCGGCACCCAACAATGAAACGTTACCCGCTCGCGACACTCGCCTCGACTACGACTCCCGACACCGTTCACGATGCGACCCAACTTTACGGTTCGGTTGGTTACCCGCGCTCCGGACCTCCGCCTCCACAATTCCCAAACCTCGGCGCTAGGCCCGTAGCGCACCCCAATTTCCCGCATTACTGTTACCACGCTAGCTTCGCTATATAACTTCGCTCATGCTTTTTGCTCGACCGGATTGTTTTGCCTCGATAGTGCAATTCTCGCTCGCTCGCTCGATTGCACTCGTAACACTTGGTATTCAGAGCCTACGATCTCATCTCGGACCGCACCCACACCTTCGCTTCCCCACTATCTCAATTTTGGGGGGGGGGGGGTAGACGTCTCTCAGCGAACAAGCACCACCGCTCGAAGTGCTCTCTCGTAAGCACGCACGGCCACGACAGAGGCTCTCGCTGAGCTTGTCCGACACCCCCGCCATGGCCGAAATCAATCTCGCGACACTGGCGCAGGAGCAGCTCGACCGTCTCGTGCGCCAACTCGAAGATTCGGCGCTCGAAATCGCAACACTCACGGCGGAACGTGACTCCGCCCGCCAGCAATCAACGGTGAATGCACCAGCACCATCACAAGCACCTGCGCAATCAGATGAGCCGATTTTCATCTCGTCCGGCACACCGTCACATCACGACAGCGTGGGACAGCGCTCAGGCGTAGCCAGTGATGGCGCCGCCCAATCAATGCCCGGCATGGGGAGGAACAGGGCTGTACCAAGCACGAGCGGGCCTCGCGAAGCCCGTCGTCACGTTGAATTTGCGGCAACAATCGGCAACAACGACATTGTTGCGCCGATGCCGCTCAAACCGCAGCGCCCGCCTTGCTTCGACCCGAGCCAACGAGGAGGTCCGACGGTTCAATCGTGGGTCTTCACGATGAACGTTTTTTTTTACGCGAATTACGTCGAGTCGGACGCAGCGAAGATTCGATACATTGTTTCGTTGTTAAGGGGCACTGCCATGGACTGGTGGCGAGTCATCGTGACGTCGCCACGCGCCTACGAGCCGCCGTCGCAAGAGGAAGAGCCCACGGGTCCAGCCGTCACCTGGAGTTCGTTCTGCGAAACCGCCCAGTACAGCACGTGGGATGCGTGGTGCGCAGGGCTTCGGGCGCGCTTCGAGCCGCTCGCGGCTTCTATATCGGCGCGTCAGAAACTGCGTACTTGGCGACAGCTTGGGTCGGTCCAAGACTACACCAGCGGTTTTCTCGCATTATGCGAGCAAGTCGGCTACATGCACGAAGCGGAGCAAGTGGACCGTTACGTCGGAGGGCTGAGCCGGACATCTCGCACGAAATCATGCTACACGGGCTCTCGAATTTTAACGAAATCCTCGCGCTCGCCGAGAAAATTGACATCTTGCGCCGTCCGAGACTGGGGTCCTACTACGGACATCGCCCTCGGGACCGACCAATCACGCCACCGTACACGCCGTCACGGCGAATGCAGCTGCTGCACCATTCAAGGGGCGCTGCTTTGCTTGCAATAGGCCGGGCCATCGCAAGAGCGAATGCCCAGAGGAGCAGAGACACCGCGGAGCAGACCAGGGGAGGGAGTCTCAGAGGCAGGGAAACGCCAGCAGTCAGTAGAAAACGGGCCAACTACTGACGAGACAACCTGCTCGCCCAACCTCACCGACCCTCACCGAGTCACAGTACCGATTCACGCTATCGATCGGGCTCGGATGAATAAGGTTGGTACAGCGACGGATTGCCCAGTACTGATTCACAGGGAGCAGTAGTCAAGATTTTTATAGACGGAGGAGCAAGTGACAGCTTAGTTAATACCGCAACCGCACGAAAGCTGCATCTGACACTTAGTCGAGATGCACGCTTAATCGACGGCACGCCGCTGGCCATATGGGAGAAGGTGGAGAGAGTAAAAGTCCACTGCGGGGGGAACTTCGGGTTTACACAGGAAATGCTCGCGAGGACACTGGATGGGCACGACATTTTACTCGGACGTGACTGGCTGCGACGGTACAACCCGTGAATCTACTGGACGACGGGTAGCTGCACTGTGCGAAGTAGCGGCAACTGGGTCGAGCTACCTCGCTGGCAGTCGCCCGAGTCTTCAACGGTCCACGTCAACGCCATCACGATGAAACGGGCTGTCGTCGCTGGAGCTGACGTGTACGCGGTGGATATAGCATTGGTAGGAGAAGCAGAGCAGCCGAGTGATTTTCAGAAACTGCTGGCAACGATACCGCCCGAACTACAGGAACTGTTGAAACAGTACCCAGGGATTTTTCCGGACGATTTACCAGAGGGACTGCCACCTCAACAGGCACATGATCACCGAATAGAATTAGAACCGGGGGCACAACCAACTGTACAGCGACATTTTCGACTGACCCAGCCCGAGCTTGATGAACTGAGGGAGCAGCTAGATTACCTGTTAGAGAAGAAGTTCATCCAACCGAGCTCATCGCCGTTCGCCGCACCGATACTGTTCACACCGAAAAAAGACTGAGGATTTCGCATGTGTATCGACTACAGAGCACTGAACAGGGTAACAGTCAAGTCGCGAAACCCCATTCCCCGCGCCGACGAACTGATAGATCAACTGCAAACAGCACGGGTCTTTTCGAAAATTGACTTACGGGGAGGTTACCATCAAATTCGGGTCGAACCATCAGACTGCGCCAAGACAGCATTTAGACTAAGTACGGGTCTTTCGAGTACACCGTGATGCCATTCGGGCTGACCAACGCACCGGCGACATTTCAGATGACCATGAACGAGGCGTTTAGCCGCTCTTAGATAAATGCGTGATAATTTACCTCGACGACATCCTGGTCTACAGTCGTGATAAGCAGCAGCACTTAGCAGATGTGGAAGCAGTGTTTAAAGTTTTAGACGAGCACAAACTACTGACCAAGGGTTCCAAGTGCGAGTTCTTC